GGGGGGGACAGGGACCGACGCGACGCGACGCGAGTGTGCGTGCCGGGCGCGCAGGCGGAGGCGCGCGCGCGCTCCGGCCGGCGCCACGTGTGCGCCGTGGCGCGCCGCGGTGGCGTGCCGCGTCGGGGCGCGTGCGTGTCACGGCGCGCCACCCGGGTGTTCTCGTTGTCTTCTCTCTCGCGGTAATTACCTGCCGTAAGCCTGTGTTTTGCATTCTGTAGTACATTGGGAACTAATCCTCTCAACACTTCTGTAGTACATTCTTAAAACATCATTTGTTAGATTAATTTAGTATTAGCTTAACAAAACTTCTTTAAAATTATTATTATCATATTTTTAAATTGATTTTTTATGAAAAATCATTGTTTAACTATTTAGAAAGCATGTGCGTTAAAAAAATTGAGATAACTGGAATTTGGAAAGCGTTTAGCAACCGACAAAAAAGAAAAGCCGTAAACTAACTGTGTGAGAAAGCGTCGTCCTTTATCCTACCTATGGAGTAGATGTAATTTCGTCGAGTTAAAATGAAAATGAAATATCAAGTCTTCGCAGAGCCGAATAAACTTTCTTAGAACTTGCATTGGATTGAGTTAAGGTGATATCTAAATCAAAAGAAATTCTGTAGGATTTTTACGGGAAATAACTCCCCTGAAAAAAGGGGTAAAATTCCTGTTGTTGAAAAGAAGCTTAGCGTGTGAGAAAATCTTTTGTTGAAATGGATCGAATACCTCTCATGTTGCATTTAGAATGCGGGAATTTTACGATAATGTTACAGGAATTTAAATATTCGTATGAAACAGGAACAATAAACAAGCATATGTGTTCAAAATGAGCATCAAATGTGAAAGAAATACTTCATCCTAAGCTGCCTCTATGCTGCTTCAAATTGATTTCCTTATGTTCTAGGAAGACTTCAAAATCTTGTATATTGCTTTAAGCAAAAAACGAGCCGTTAAAGTTAAACGCAGGTGCAATGCATTAAATCGTATAAGAGCTTGCTTTGTCACAGGTGGAGCATTGTATAATCTGCCTTTGTGTTCATCTGGGCACACAAGATATTTTGCTAGATTGGGTCTACGGTTATGCCGTCGCTTTCTGCCTTTTTCACGAGGTACACCAGCTCTAACCCTCCTAAATCACACCCCGCCTGCAAATCATCACTACAGCTACCCAGTATATTGTTCTCAACATGTGCTTGTATTTTTCATACTCTTAGGTGGCATATCTCGATCGAAAACCTATTGTTAAGCTAAGTGCTCGTAGCAATTTTTTCTATTCCATATCAGTTTTCAGTCAATAAAGCTGTACAAAGTACAAACTTTCGGTGTTAATTAGTCAATACCTGATGTGTCTGTTAGTACAACATTAGGCATTTACATATCCTTTTTACCATCGATCAAAATAAAACTGTCCACATTTTATCCCGGGACCAAACCAAAATGTTTTTTTGACTATGTGGTGCCTCCATCGAATTTATTGTTTGTCCTATGGCCGCTGTAAAATTTTGAATTCTAAAACATAGTTTTGAAGTTGTTTTTGAGATTTTCTAATCGTAGTTTATTTTGTAGTTTATTTTTGAACGTCGACTCCTAAATTGCTAAGGCCATATATAAAAAAAAGTGACCCAAAAATTATTTTCTATTGCTGATAATCCATGCTGCTTATAATAAGCATTAGACTAACTGATGGCAACAAAAGAGTTATAGCATCAACACACCAATCAATAACAAACAATAACAAAATAGAGAGAAATGAAAAGAAAAACTACAACATACATGTCAATATCGCTTCAATTATTTTAAATTGCTAAATAGGATGGCACATGCATGATGCCATGCCATCAAAAACCGCTCTTGGTCGCGAAGCTAAAGCGAAAGTTGTAGAAAGCTGGAACAAAAAACAAAAGCTTGCTTGAACCATCCTATATCCTAACCCTCGAAAGCGAAGACGCAAAGCTTCACTTTTCAAAAGGAAATGAGTGAGGCTGACAATTTAGGTCTAGGAATAAAATATGAAGAGTTTCAAGAGTTGTAATATGGAGAGTTTCAAGAGTTGATGGATGTACAGAAACCGATTTCATGACAATTGCAAGAGGATGATGACGAGGTACAAACCCGAACAGAGCCACTGAAAGTTGGAGGTTGAGATGGCTAATTGAGAGAACTTCAACTATAGCTTAAAAAACCATCATCTGGAACGAGAAAGGAGATCATCGCAGTTGCGGTGTAGCTCATCGGAGAAGAAAGTAGCAGATGACACAACTTCCTTTTCATTGAGCTTGAGGACAAACCCTACACTACAGCATTGATGGTGAGCCCAAAAGCCCCTAGATGAGAGGCAGTTGCTAAATAAGATTGTGGCAATACCCTCCATGACCGGACGCAACCGGGACAAAACAAGTTAGACGCAAACGGCTTTCTTGAGCTATAAAAGAAAAGAGAAAAACCAACTACAGGAAGAACTCAACTATAGAGGACACAATCCCCTTACCAACGGCCGATGACTAGGGGGAAGAAAGAGAGGGGACGGAAGATGGGATGCATGTAAGTAACTACACCGGTACGAAAGAAGAGAGTTTTATAGTATCACTTAAAACTTGAATACCAAGTTATACGACGAGATATCAATACGACAATACCATTTTTACCATCAGATTTTAGTTATTTAACTTACACAAACAAGACAATCACACTAAAATTTTACTACTATCGAGCTAATACATGGACGCTAATTTATTTATCCACCGGCAGGGAAGGTGCAAATAAGCATCACTGGGTAGGATTATCAGAGGAACCTAACAATTTCGGCACTAATGGGCCCCACCAAGTTGATGCACCAATTGGACTTCATGAGGTAGGCTGTGGATTCTTCCTGCAATAAATTAATTAAGGAAATGATAATGATAACTGCGGATTAGCTAAGAGAGCCTAATAAAAAAAACAGTAGTACGACAAAGCAGAGAGGAGTTCGGGATATTTCTAGACTAACCCAGCTGTAGCTGCTCCGAGACAGATTGCCTTATCCACTACTCCTGGTCCCATCTCAAAACAAGATTGGAGAGCATCTCATCAGTACACTGTTCTTCTGTCAATGAGATCGCATTCAACCTCTGTCACTTTTGCCCCTTCTGAATCTCCCCAGCTTGATGCAGTTTGTTTATTTTTCAATACTCTAACCTTTAACACCTTTTTCTACAACAATTGATTTTTCATTTTGATATGAAACAAAAATGAGGAAAATAAGGTGTTGTTGTTCTAATATAATTGAGGAATTTCACTTTGGGCTATCTTTATTAAGTAAAATTTTACAATGAACTAGGACTAAATTCATATTTTCACACAACACTGCATATAATTATATTTTTTTTTGTACTTTGGACTAGGGTTCACAAAGTTGCAAGCACCGAAGACTCCATCAGGTGATCTACTATTTTAATAAATTGTTAATTTAACTTTGGGATGGCTCAATTAGACAATTACTCTGCTTTAAAGAACCGAGCCTAATTAGGGGCGCTATAATCCAGTTTCATTATTATGGAATTAACATTGAGTATTTCATTATTTTTAGTTTGAGTACTTCATCAAGTTAAGTGCCCTCAACTGTTAAGTAGTGAAATATGATTTGTGAGCGTTCATATGTAGTAATGAAACCCCATTTATTTAATAGGATCTACTATAACTTGCTACATTAGTTGTTCTTGTGCTAACATGTGTATAGTTGTAATCCCTGGTCCAAATGCAATAAGAATGATAACTATATATGTGGTGTCATGTGAAAGATAGGTTAGGTCTTAACCCATTGTAAAACTTTGGTTATTAAAGATCGTCCAAAGTAAGATTCTCTCCACATTATTTTAGTTTACTACTACTCCACTAGCTTAGATGCTCATAGCTTGTAACCAAAAACTCTCCATAATTTCTTTTTTTAAAAAAAAAACTCTCCACAATGGTTTATTTGGCGATTTGGAGAGCATATGATTTTTTTTTGCAAGCTTCGAGACTGTATTATCCTGTTTATTGCCCCGTGATAGACTGGTAATAGACCTTGTTTATTTAATATTTCAAAATAAATTAAACATATGCAGGAGTAATCGTCTGTCGGAAAGATTTTGATGGTGAAGCCGAAAGGTGTTTCAGAAAAGAAAGAAAGAACGAAAGGATGATGTTACTTCATATTGAGTATCTCACTCTCAACAGTCACCTCCTATGTTATGTAACTAATGCACCTACCTAGGCCTAGCAGAAGGCAAAAATAGAAAAAACTTTTGCCCCATTATTTACTTGCTGGGTTTTATTAGCCGTAGCAAATTTTAAATTTTGGAACTTAAGTATAAAGTTATTTTTAATGTTTTCTATGGTACTTTGTTTTTAGCTTTGGATTTTTTTTAATCAAATGCTTTCGCCCATCTTTACTAACAAAACATAACGATTGTTCTTTTAGCATTGGATTTTAAATAAACAAGCAGATATAAAAGTTTTATGCGTTCGTTCATTTCTCCACGGGTTATCAGCCACAGAGCGATCGATCAGAGTGAATTAATAGGAAATTCTATTGCATCAAAATTTTATTTACCTGAATGCCGTTTTTCTTTTATCTTTTTACCACTCTCTCTTTTACGCTTTAAACTTTCATTTCAACCCCTTTGCTCTCTCACTCTTTTCAGAATAAGGAATCGTTGGTTAAATAGTAGTAGCAGCAGTATAAGACAAGGCAATAAAAACAGACAAGAGGTAGAAATACAGTAAAATGGACAAACTAGCCATCATCACAGGTTCAGTACAAGGAGCAGTATTTATAAGGACTATATATCACTATGCCCCCAGTGAATTCTTGAGCCCCTCTTGGAGACAAGCAAATTTGATAAAAAAACACTAGCCTTTGTCTGAAAATATTTTAGTACTAGTGAAAAGGAACAATGAAGAAGGGAAAATGGTCCAAGGAAGAGGACGATTTGATCAAAAACCACATGGAGAAGTATGGCATTGGCCGTAGCTGGCAGGCACTGTCTGATGCTTTAGGTTTGTTTTTTTTTTTCACCCCTTGATGCATACACACTGTTCTGAACATTGGTATTAACATTAACAAATTGATGTGCTCCCATCATAAACTAAAACGAAAAGAAAAACTTGCTTATGTGAAAATTGTGTTTTTTTAATCAAATCGTCCTCTTCATTGGAGCATTTTATTGTAGTCAAGTAACCTCTTGCAAATGATCTGCTGTTGCTGTCTAGATCAGTTAATCTTCTGTTTAGGGTAATAGAAAATAGTAGGTAGGTAACCCTGTTCTACTGCATGTTATTTACTGTAAAAATGGAAGGCATGTGCAGTTACTTGACTACAATAATTTGTGCAACTTTTATGATCTCAACAGTTTATATTAGTTGCAGAAAACACTACAAAAATTCTGTTTTTATTACTAGTAGCCCCATTATTTATTTATTTGATCAATCCTCTAACTGTACAGTTTCTTATTAATTTTTTAGACAAGAAATATTTCTGTTAGGAGTTTAACTGCTATCTATTCTCTTCTGATTCTCTCAGAAAACCATCACTATATCGTTTGCTCATATCTGACTTGATCATGGCAATGTATGAAACAAGTGTTTTTTTTTTCCGATGGTTCGCAGGGCTGCAGAGGTGTGGCCGGAGCTGCCGTTCCCGGTGGCTGAACTACCTTCGGCCGGGGCTGAAGCACGGCGACTTCTCGCCGGCGGAGGAGAGGATCATCTGCAAGATGTACAGCAAGAAGGGAAGCAGGTCAGTGAGCCAGCCTCATGTATCCACTTCTGTTGTTCATAATCTGAGAATTGTTGATTGTTTCAACATTGTCTGCAAGAACTGCACTGTTTTACTCACTGATTTGATTTGATTTGATTTGATTGGTCTCATGTTATATTTAGCTGAGATTTCGGATCAAATGATCTGTAACTTTGTTTATCACTTCTGTTCATCGGGATATGAGAAATTGAGAATTCTTGATTGTTCAACATTGTCTGCAAGAACTGCACTCTTTTACTCACTGATTTGATTTGATTTGGTTGCTCTCATGTTATATTTAGCTGAGATTTCTGATCAAATGATCTGTAAATTTTGTTTATCAATGATCTGCTAGTGATGAATAATGCTTCAAAATCTGCCTGCTTCGCTTTGTTGCATCACGGACACAAGTTGCGAATTGTTTTTTGGTTGCCATTGTTGATGGACGCAGCTGGTCGGCCATCGCCGCGCAGCTGCCGGGGAGGACGGACCTCGCCGTCAAGAACTACTGGAACAGCACGCTCAAGAAGAGGTTCCCGGCGGCGGCGGCGGCGAGGAGCACCGCCGCCGCGCGCCGCAGGCACCGCCCCGCCGCCAGCGCCACCACATCGTCCGACGACGACGACGACGTCGACGTCGACGACGCGACCCCGCCCGGCCTCGCGCTGGTCGTCTACAGCGAGGGGAGCACCGCCGCCGCGGCGGCGGCCGGCGAGCTCGCTCCGTACTCCATCTCATCCCCGGCCGCCACTGCCGACGCGGCGGAAGAAGAAGAGCCGATCGCGGCCGTTCCGATCAGCACCTGCATCCTGGCACTGCCGCCGCCACCACCACCGCCACCGCCGCCGCCGAGCGATGCCACCGGCGGCGAGGTGAGCATCCCCTGCTTCCCCTTCTCGCCGCTGCCATTCATCGAGCCGGACTTGCCGGAGCTGACCTGGACGACCGACCTCGACGACATTACCGCCACCTTCGATGCCGCCGCCTGCCGCTACCCGAAGCGGCCGCATCCAATCACACCGGATTCGCCTCGCCTTCCGAAGCTTCCCGCCATTGCCGGCTTCGACGACGTGCAGAGCTTCTTGTCTTGGTTCGATGACTGATAGTGTAGCAAGAAATGGCTCAGTTCTTGGTCGGAATTAACAGTAGCTGGTTTAGGAGGAGATGCATGGTTATCATTTGTGTAATCTGTTCGAAATTTTTTTAAAAAGTTTTTAAGGTTGTTTGTGTGGCTACTGGCTACGTGATTATCTAAGAACTATCGGTTGATCTAATCATTATCTGTGAACTTGCTGGTTGCGAAGGTGAACCAAATGATTTAGTTTTTTAGCATAAATTTGTCGCAAATTTGTTTTATAATTTAACCAAAAGCTTTTTTGAAAAATTGAAAATAAAATCATCTGTAGCATATGCCTACGGTATAATACGTCGCCGTTTCTGCTTGCTCGTGCCACCGCAGCGCCTCCCGCCGCCGCCGCCGACCGATGCCTCGCCGGTCGCCGCTGCCTCTACTCTACTCCTCCTCCTCCTCCCCTTTCACCGCTTCATTGGCGGTGCTCGCGGCGTGACCCCGAGCTCGGAGCTGACGTCTCAGCGCTGCTGCTCCGCGGACGGCTCGGCGCGCGCCAACTGTTCGACGAATTGCCCCACCGAGTCCGGTGGCGCCGCGGCTACCTTCGCGCCGCCTTCGCTGCCTCCGTCTCCAACCTCAACGCGCGAGACGGCCACAGGGGAGGTAGGTTTCGATGATCTCATCACCTGCGGCGATCGATCGATCTCAGCTCGTCAGCTTCCGATCTCGCGTGTGACGCCTGGACCTCTCGTCGCTTTGGTTTTGGTTGCATTTTAAGAGCTTTGTTTAATTTTTTTTTCTTGCAGTGAAAGCAGAGGCTATGAAATCATCGGCGCAATGAAGTAATCACTCCTGTCAATGGTGATTGATTCAGCAATGCTGCTATCTTGCGAGAAGTCAATCCGTTTCTCGATGAAATATTGCTTTGGTCTGAAAGGTTAGACAAACATTATCCTCTTGTTACAGATTCCAAACAGGTTTCTTTTCATGGTTTAATCCTGCTGACACATGTGGTTACTGGCTACATGATACAATAGCTGCCAATGAATGCCAAGGTTGGATGGTTACAAACTGCATCTGAACTTGAAATTGAAACACTGACTGTTGGTGCAAACCTAGAGTTTCTATTATGTTTAATCGGTATAGGACATGTTTTATGATCCAATCTTTTATTTTTACTGGTTCATAAAAGTGTACCTGGTGCCAAACTTCAAAAAAAAAAGAAGGTAAAAGTGTACCTGCCTTATCTGCCAGTGTCGTATCCAGTACAGAGAGAGAGGAAACACATTGTATTGAGCAAGCAGCTCTGTCAGTGTCAATAACCATACTACTGAAATCTATTTTCACAGAGTACAAGTGTGCTGATGATATATAATGGTAGATACCATAGGTTATTGGTGAGAAAATCTTTTAACTTTGGAATTTCTGTTTGTGCATACTTCATTAACTGTACTATCCCTATTGTCCTGTTGCTGTAAAACTCGTTGATCATTTTATTAAAAAAAATATTTTTAAAAAGCTAGCCCTGAATACCTCATTGGATTAAAAAAGGTGTTCATGTTTGTTCTCTTTCTCTGGTGCTGAAGCTGAAAGCATGTTCTCCACATTTTTGGCCAACCTATAAATTAACCAAGTTATCGAATGCAATATATCTTAGAGAGGACAACTAGATGGTGCAAATATGGTACTCCCTCCATTTTTTAATAGATGACGCCGTTGACTTTTTCTCACATGTTTGACCATTCGTCTTATTCAAAAATTTTATGCAAATGTATAAGATATTAATCACACTTAAAGTACTATAAGTGATAAAATAACTCATAACAAAATAAATTATAATTACGTAAATTTTTTGAATAAGACGAATGGTCAAACATGTGAGAAAAAGTCAACAGCGTCATCTATTAAAAAACGGAGATAGTATTTTGTTACGTCAAATGTAACATGTGAATGCCATTTTTATTTTACCTTTTAACCTTTACAGCCTCATCATATATAGAGTTGTTTGCCAATTTCTTCCTCTTTACCATTCCTTTTCTTCATCCCTTCTCTCCTATGAGAATGAGGAATCGTTGGTTGTAGCATAAGACAAACCAATAAAATAAAAAAAGAGGAAGATATATTACTGCATGGTAAAATAGACAAGTTAGTCACCATCATGCATTAGGTGACTAGGTGTTACTCCTTGGAAGCAGTATTATTTATAACATAAGGCAGGCCTCATCACTCTCATTTGAATTGTTTAGCACTAGACAAGCAAAGGCTATATATTTAGTAATCAATAGTAAAAGGAAAAATGAGGAAGGGAAGTTGGTCCAAAGAAGATTACTATTTGATGAAAAATCACATTGAGAAGTATGGCATGAGCCATAGTTGGCAGAGGCTGTCTGAAATTTTGGGTTCGATTTTTTCACCTCTCACCATGCATATAAATCATTTTCCAATACTATCATTCATCTAAACTGATATAATATCATATTTGATAGAAAAGAAAATCGGTCTATTGGAAAAAGTAATATCATTACTTCTTCAGCGGCTTTCTGATCCATGTTGCTCATCAGAAGTCATTGTCGTTATTTCTACATTCTTCTGGTTAGGATCAAATAACATTTATTTTCGAAGATTGAAGGCATTTGCAGTTACTCGAGTTCAGAGATTTGTCCAGGTTTCTTTTATGATCTCATTAGTTTATCTTAGTCTCAGGAAATATGTATGGAGGTCTAGTATTTCCCCTTAAAATAATTTGGATTCTTTTGTCAACTTTGGACAAGCTAATGTTTTTATTTGGATTTAACTGATATGATCAAAGTGCTGTATGCCCTCTTCCTGGCTCATTTTTTACAAATAAAAAATATTCCATCCGTTTTATATTATAAGTCGTTTTTATTTTTTTAAATCAAATTTCTTTAAGTTTAACCAAGTTTATTCTAGAAAACTATAGCAACAATTATAGCACCAAATTAGTTTTATTATATCTAACATGAAACATATTTGGATAAATTCTTTGTTTTGCGTTGAAAAAATATTACTATATTTTTATTTATAAATTTGGTCTAATCTAAAGAAGTTTGATTTATAAAAAAAAATCAAAACGACTTATAATACGAAATGAAGGTAATACTGTCTCTTGTTGCAATGAGGAGGTTATCTTTCGATCTTCTCTAAATGAACTAAGCGATCACAGCTCTAAATTTTAGATGGGACGGAGACGAAGATGCTCGATAAAAATAACCGAACAAACACATATAGTAGCATATTAATATTAAGCACAAAAGAACATCAAAAATAAAAAAATAGAGTATAATTCCCGAGTCACCAAACCCTAGCTACGAGAGCCAAGATAGGCTTATATACACGAGCAAAACAGTTCTGTTTTTGCTCATCCGGTTGAGCTTGTACTTCAGAGCCTTTGCTGCTGATCCTGGTCTCCGAATCTTAGCAGGCCTTACTGGACACACTCTGCACAAGAGAAAACTCTGTTTAGGAAGGTGATTGCAAGGTAAAGATTAGACGAAAAACATTCACTGCTGGGGCGTGGATGGATCCCAGTGATACAAAATGTGTGTTTCCTAATGTTCAAATGTTCAGAGACGGTTTTTTTTTTTGGATAGAGAGGTTAGTTATGTCATCACCTGCAGCCTCCTCCATCATCAGCCATGATCATGTGGAGCAGCTCAAGAGCTTCTTGGCTTCTGTTCTCATCACACAGCCCCCTGAGAAGAATATTGTAGGAGAAGACATTGGTATGCAACCGAGCTCGATCATTCTGCAGAGCACTATGTCTATTGCGTCGTTCGTCCTCTTGTCGGCACAGAGGCCCTTGAGAAGAGGATTAATGGTGATGGCTTCCACTCTAAATCCCTTCTTGACGACATTGCCCAAGGCCGCGAAACCGAGGTCCAAGCGGCCCGCACGGCAGCAGCAGCCGATGAGGATGCCATAGGTGTGCACGGTGGGAGGAGTTACCTTGCCGGCGCCGGCTCGGGCCATGCGGTTGAAGCGGGACACAGCGGCCGCGGGGATGTAGCGCGCGACGTCGGCGAGAGCGAGCGCCGTTCAAGCTGTACATCGAGGCGCCGCTGCCTTGCCGGAGCAATTCGTCGAACACGTGGCGTGCGTCCTCGGCGCCACCGCCACAGACTGCACCCTCCGAGCGAGGGGTCGCGCCCACGGAGCGAGGGCCGCCGGCGGAGCGCGCTCGGCTCGAGTGGGTACGCGGCGTGCCATGGCGCAGCCTGAAGGACATGAGTCAGCGGCAGCAACCGGCGGCAGCGCTGAGTTTACTCACACCAGGAAGGAGTCGGAGGGAGGCAAGGAAGGAAGGGAGGAGCTAACCAGCGCGCGAAGGAATGGCGTATGCCGGTCTTGTGTTCGCGATGGCCTCCGCCGCCGGCGGCGACGGCGGCGGCGGCGGCGGGATGCGGTGCTGTGTGTTTTGGCTTCGCGTTTTGCGCAGAGCAATTTGGATGGCAATTTCACTTGCAAAATTATGTTTAACGGAAAAGGTTATTCTTCAAAACTTTAACCTCCAATACTTCGTAATGCGTAAGATTACTTCTCAATCCAAATCACTGCAACTATGTCCTGTTCTAATTTGATTTGATTTGATATTTTTAAGATTACACTTTGATAGTGGTTTCGATATATCGCTGAAAAAAAAGAAATATTTTTTCTTGCAGTGAAAGCAGAGGTGCAGTGAAGTAACCACTCCTGTCAATGGTGATTCAGCGATTCTTGCAAAATAGTCAGTTTAAATGTTACTTTGCTCTGAAAATTTAGACAAACATTCTTCCTGTTACAGATTGAAAACAGGTTATCTTCATGTTTCAATCCAGCTGACACATTTTTTACTTGCACAACTTCCTGGTTCATAGAAGTGTATCTGGCAACGTTCAAAACTTCAAATTATCGAAGTACTGGAGTACCTTCCGTTAATTTCTGGGCACTGTACTTTAGCCATATTTGTAATTTTTCACACAAAAGCATCCGGGAAATTAAAGATTTTCTTCTGGTTAACTTCCTAAAAGTTTGTTAAATCGTGCACTTGCATACCTGCACTTATTTTCATTGAAGAAACATTACTGCAACTGTTATGTACATATAGCTGTATATCTGTTTTCAAATTATACCAAACTTTCAACTCAGCAAGTACTTTGCATATTCAACACAATTTCTTTAGACCCTTCACTCCAAGAAAAACATAAGCAAGAGATGATACACATCCATCTCCCTTCCTTACTAGCAAGAGAGAAAAAAAATGATGGTAAAAACCCAACTAGAAATTGTAAAAACTCATCAAACAACCAGGTCAAAAGTGGTCAAAACTCCTGGTTTGTGAGCCATGGTACATTGGTACATAACCCACATCAAATTCATGTACTAGAGTACCTGACTTCCTTTTTCTTGGAGTGTGGGATGACGATTTTCGGAGCATCAACGTGCATTTCCAGAGAGTTGAACTCCAGAGCCAAGATAGGCTTAGATAACAAGACCATAACGGTATGTTTTTGCGCATCCGGTTCAGCTAATACTTCCGAGCCTTTGCTGCTGATCTTGCCATCAGGACACTCCTGTGGTTCAGTAATTCTTGGTCTCCAAATCTTAGCAGGCCTTACCGGGCGCACTCTGCACAAGAGAAGACTGTTTAGGAAGGTGATTGCCAGGTAAAAATATTAGAACTACAGACTCTAGAACAACAACAATGTATTTGCTTGGACATAATGCAACAATTGTGAAAAAATTCACTGCTGGGGCATGGATGGATCACGTTCACAGGTATATAAAACGTGTGTTTGATGATGTCTAGAGAGGTTAGGTATGTCATCACCTGCATTCCACTTGGCAAGAGTACTTGAGAAGATCAGGATGGTCCTCTATCTGTCCACTGAAATTCACAGTGCATGTCATGTTCGGTTTTGAGCTATTCGATAAAAGGTCTCTATTTTCAGAAAAAAAAATTGTCGCTGTAAAGAACACCACATATGGCTACTTCAGAGAGTGGAGGCTTTGGCAGTTTTCTTTTGGAAAACACAAATACCCTCCACTTGGTTTTGACCTAACCTGAAGCTTGGAAGAGACATTCTGATTGCTGGACCCATCCACTTGTGTTTATGCGACCCTGTTGACACTTTTGCATGATTAGAAAGTGAAAGAAAGCATTGAATCAACAAAGTGAAGCTTTAGTAACTTCCATTTTTGAGACATAAGGTTAGGCAGTTGCTATCCTATGGCCGTGTACACCCTTGTTGGTGTAGAGGCCGGATTTTAATCCATTATCCAAAAAAAGGGAGTTGCTATCCTAAAGACATTTTGGAATTCCACATGATATCCATTTCACAATTAGAACCCTGGAAATGAAGAATGAAGTCATTTGACGAATAGTAGTATGAAGAAGGTTTACTAATATAGAATTTGGTAGCTCTAAATAAGATGCAGACTTTTAAACCCAGGCAGTTTTAGCGAAAAGAACTAAAGGAGAGTAAGGTTTTTTTTTTTAACTCCAACAGATAATTCAGTCATTCAGTAAAAAAGATCATGCTTGTTGATGCATTAAGCAGATAAGTTTCAACTCACCAGTAAGCGGTACACTAATGTTGCACAAATGTCTTGTACAAGAGCCCTTGGTCTCTGAGATCTCGATCTCACGGTCATTCCCTTGGTTGGAGACAGTTGAGCGCATTCCAAGCAAGCTCAGGAAGCTGTTTGATTTAACCAATGGCTTGTTTCTAAGCGCATCAGCTTCAGTCTAGCACATTCGAACAATGTCCAAGCAATATAAAAAGTTGTAGACGGCAAACATTTGACAAACCTAATCATGCAAGTACTCTAAACATTTGACAAACCTTATTTCCCAAGTACCTGTGAGAATGTAGCAACATGGCTTGGGAGACCTACTTCCTACAGGAATGACAATGGCACTGATCAGGGTAATAATATCAATGCAAATGGACATAGCATCACAAACAAACCAGAGAGGGGATCCCGGTGTCACCTTGCGACCATGCCGGCAGGCTTCGGCACTGTTCACCAGCACTCTAGCAGCCCACCTGTGAACGAATTCAGAGACTTCAGACCAAACCAGCAGAGCACACAAGAACTTTTGATCAAATAATTAGATAGCATCACAACCCATCACACACACTCATGTCAAGCATCAACCACCAAGCAACTCATCTTAGGCATCCCCCTTGGGTATGGACATCTGAAACAAAGTTCAGAAAAGTAGCAAGTTTGCAAATTTTATCCATTTTTCAGCTGTCTGAAAAACCCACACTTCCCACATGCACATATTCCTTCCCAATAAAAATTGTCATCTTTTTTTTTTCCTGCAACTTGGCCGTACCATACGGAGCAAGTACAGGGGAATCGAATCGAATCATGCAAACACCCAATAATTAAAAGGGTGCAGCAAAAGGAGAGCCCATATGCAAAGCCCTGTGCTCAAGTACAATCAACACTAATCAAGACGCGTTTTTTTATTGGCTTTTTTGAGGGACTCGATCACTCGAACCTGCCGCAATGCAAAGCTCGGGGATTATTTTCCCCCTAATCTAATGCAACTTGGCCAAGAACTCCACCCAATCAGGCAAGGGCAAAAGCACTAGCGGTGGACTCGATTAAACTAGGCCAAAAAGACGCAGCAATCTCGGCGACTCACGCGCAGGAGGTCGGCGGGTTCCACACGATGCCGGCGATCACCACGAGCTGCAAGGAGAGACAGCGAGAAATCCGATCAAGAAATTAACGGAGCGAGAGAGGGACAGATCGCCGGAGAAGGAGAAGGCGAGACGAGACCTCGTCGAACTTGCCGGCGGGGCTGTCGTCGTAGCGGGCGAGGAACATGCCGCCGAGGGTGTAGCCGAAGGCCTCCACGAGGCGGAGCTCCCTGGGCACGAACGCCCGCGCCGTCGCCGCCTTCACCAAATGCAGCTGGTACAATGCCCTGCCATAGTTGCCATTGCCCCCAACCATCAAATCAAGAATCAATCAAACGGAGGATGAGATCGCGATAGAGAGAGCCTTGCTTGCCTGCCCCTGAACACCCATGGCGGCCCGCGCCCGTACCCTGCAGCAGCAGCAGCCTCCTCTCTGCCACTGCCAGCCGCCATGGATGGCCACTGACTCAACACACTTCCTCGGCTGCCTCTGCAAGAATGCAGCTACTGCTACTACTAGTCTACTACCACCACCAAGAAAGGCACAGTGGGGGAGTGGATTGCAATAATAAAATAGTAGATGCAAGGAAGGAGATGGATGGATCGGGAAGGAGGAGAAGGTGATGAATGATGATGCACTGCCTGATGCTGGGATGCAAGATTGCAAAGGTAAGGAGTTGTTTAAACAAGTTTTTTTATTCTTCTTCTTTTTTTTTTTTTTTTTGGTTTGATGGTTTGTGCAAGGAGATCCCAAAACCTTATCCGGTGTACAGGGAGCACACGCGGCAATAGTTTAGAGGATGGGGGATCCGTGAGGGCCCCATCCATGGCTTTGTGATAATCCATGGTGTTTTAACTTCGATTGACTCTCGTATAGCACTTAGGCTGTGTTTAATTCGTGTGCAAAAATTTTTTTAAGGATATGGACACACATTTGAAGTATTAAATGTAAACTAATACTAAAACAAATTACAGATTACGCCTGTAAATTGCGAGATGAATTTATTAAGCCTAACTAATCTATCATTAGCAAATGTTTACTGTAGCATCGCATTGTCAAATCATAGCGTAATTAGTCTTAAAAGATTCGTCTTGTGATTTACATGCAAATTGTGTAATTGATTTTTTTTTTCATATTTAATGCTCCATGTATGTGTCCAAACATTTGATGTGACGGAAAAGTTGGAAGTTTGAAGAAAAAATTTTGAATCTAAACACGGCCTTACTCCATCAATTCCAAAATAGATGTCGTTGTGACGTTTTGATTTTTCTTTTCTTGCAATATTTGACCATTCATCTTATTTAGAAAAATTAGTGCAAATATAAAAATATAAGTCATAAGACACAAACAAAACAAATAATAATTCCCTAATCTTTTGAATAAGACGAATGATCAAATATTACGAAAAAAACTTAAAACGACAAGTATATTGGGATGGAGGTAGCACTAGTTGTTGACTTTTAAGACAAACAAATTTGAATTGTATAACTTTTTAAGATGATTTTGGAGTTTTTTTCTTTAGAGTCTATTTTACAACATTATCTTTTAAATTGCTAATAACTCGATATAAAAGATACCAATAAATTAACTATGATAGCTTCTTTCATCGTTACCTGGCTTATCAGCATAGCTAAAATGATCGGCTCCTTTGAAAACACAGCAATACAGGAAATACACTAATATGACATGAATTCATGTACTACCTCGGTGGACAAATATAAGTACTCCAAGCGATTGAATTTTTTGGCTTTATACATCTGGTTGGATGTAGAGTCCGGGTTTACTCGTTTTCTAAAAAAAGGATTGAAATTTGTCTACAAATATAATATTCTAAAGTACCTATCATTCAAATTTATTTTTATCTTATTCCTATCACCAGTCAAAGGATAATTTTCCAATGCTTTTCCTCTACTCCTTTTCTTTTCATAAACTTGTTAACTAGTAAAAATTTCAAAACGTCTTCTAATATGAAATGGAAGGAGCATTTGCGCCTTGCCAGTAGGGGTGGAAAAAAAAGCTTGGGCTCGTGAGCTCAGCTCGGGCTTGGCTCGAGCTCGCTTAGCTCGGCTCGGCATGAATGCCAAACGAGCCAAGCCCAAGCCTCCTTTTCAACTCGTTTCTGAAATGAGCCGAGCCTGATTTGGCTCGTGAGCCTAGGCCATCATGTATCTATATGGATGATTTTATTTTCTAGTGGAGTTATTATTTGTTAATATATAATTTATTATCTATATTTTGATGAATTGAATATATAAAGTTATTTTAATTTTACATGTTGATGATTTGTTATTGCTTTTCTTAATGATTACAAATTATATAGCTTCAACGGAAGGCTCACAAGCCAGCTTGAGCTGGCTCGAGCCAGGAAACGAGCTGAGCCGAGCTCATGTTTTAGCTCGTTTCCCTAACCGAGCCGAGCCAAACCAAGCCTAGCTTGTTGCGAGCCATGGCAAGCCGAGCCAAGCCATTGGCTCATTTCCACCCCTACTTGCCAGAACGTTTCTGAAGAAAAAAATGTATCGCAACGTATAGCAAAATACTAGAGTCAGATTGTCTGATTTCCCGGGGACAAAATCACAGGTAAACAGCAGCACACACTCAAAAAGATAGTGAGAGAGAACCACAAATACTGTAAAGCAAGCACTATTATTAGCGTGGAAGTTACTGTTTTAGGGCCACTCTACAATCATACTGCCTGTAGTATACTATTATCCTGTTCCATTTATCCTCTGTTGGACGGTTTTGCTTCTCTTGAATTGCCTCTTTGCAGATCAACTCATAATAATCCAAATCCAAAACAATCTTTGCAGATCAACTCATAATAATCCAAATCCAAAACAACCAGCATGTTTTTGCAAACGAGAGGCAGGTCTCAATTGGCGGGAGCACGAGCACTTCCTGACAAGAAATAAATTTGTAAATGTTTTATGACTTCGGCAGAATATTCATTCTCCCTCGGTGCAGCAGGCCAAGAAGATGTTCCCTGCAAATTCATGAAAAGTCCAAGGAAAAATAGAAGTAGGATTAGCATTTTAACAAACAAATTTCAGGGGATGGTTCCATGCTAGAACAATAGTACCAAATAAGTATCCCTTTCCTCACAAAAAAAAGTATTCCTTTCAATCTCCTAATGCTGAGGGAAAGCTTTAGAAATTCTTCAACACAATACTTTTTCCTTACCCAAAAAAAAGAGAAAAATATGTATGACGATAAGAATCTTTTTTCTTTCCAGACCCAACAAAACATGGCCGAAGGAGCTTGCACAACCATTGATAATTTCATCAGAAGTTCAGAACCTTTGCAACAACCCTTGTTCTATAGGATTTACAGTTATTATCTGTCGCTCAAAGCACCAGGTGCTAAAAACCATTGGCCCAGATTATAGAAGCTAGCAAATCATGCTGTCATGCTTTCTGCCATGTTTAAGCAAGGTAGCTATCATGATACTGCAGTCCCAGAATCAATCTCAAAACCAGTTGAGCACAGGTTGAGGTTGCCAATTGTCAAACATCTGGAGCACTTCATGAACACTAGTATCTAGTAGTATTATTCTTTTTTTACAAAGTTCTTCTAGAATAACTCTGTACATGACGATATCCAGTTAATTCCTAAAGCAGCAAATATCTGGTACTCTTCATCTTTGTAGCCACCGAGCCAGTTGTGAGACCAAATTGGGGATTAAAAATTGGTGCGAGCAGCTTAGACAGTTCACCTTACAGTGTAATGTTTTTTATTTTTTCCCTTTTTTTTTGTTTTTTCCCCTCCAACCTAATGTTCACAATGCAACCTTGTCTTCCACAATTTCCATTAATGAGATGGCTACAAGGTAGAGCCACCTCTACCTTTTTACGTCAAAAATAGTCAGTTTAGTACAAAAAGCATTTCTTCATCAAACATTTCAAGTTTACCATATGCACATAGTATTAATATGTTGGAGATATGATGATCCAGTAGAATATCATTTTATACAACAAGATCTTGTTCCACAATGTTTTTTTTTGGATAATTAAATACTGCATTTGTTGAATAACAATACTTCTATCATTTCTTCAGTGCGGAGAAAGGCAAACTAGTATAGACCCAACAGTATTCATAATTGAACTCATGAAACCCTCTTGATTGAAACCTTGCTATTTATGCATACAGAGAAAAGAACCCTCCACTAGCAGGATTGTAGCAGACAAGAATTCCAATTCAGAATTTCGTAGCTGCAAAAATCTTCAGCGGTTCCAATATTCTATAAATACTTGTACTTTTCAGGGGAAAACCTATGATATTCTTGGTGTTTGCCTCCAGAAAAAAAGATCTATAAAACAGGGAAACAGACCATGCTTTGAGAGAGAAGTGCTTATCATCAGTCATGGAGAGGTAAGCACCAGCTCTGCTTAGTGCACCTCTGTGAAACAGTCTGCTAACTATGCTATTTATCATACAGGGGAATCTTTGTCACTGCAAGTTTAGCAGATAATAAATTAGTTCTAACAAAGCTACAAAAAGTAGCAAAATTAGAGAACTATAATATCATCTGGGAATTTTTCTTCGAAGGGAATCAGATATAGTGTGACAAAAAAAAGGGCAGTTTGTACCTAGCAATCCACATGTAACAGATAAAGGTGATCCCCAAACATAGAGTGGTCCAGAATTTCTTGTTTGTATTACTAATTCAGTGAGAAGGCCAACAATAGCCAGTTACAACTGCATAACTGTAGGCCATTTCAAACAGGATGGATTTCACTTCAGAGCAAAACTTTTCAGGGAGAAATTCCGTATGTTTGATTGAATTTCCTGCTTGAAATCAGCAAAATCAGCAAATCAACAGTCGAAGCTTCAACGGGGAGGTTATTTTGATCAATTTTGGACATGTAAACCCCAGCACTGCCTAGTGCCTACTTCCCCTTTTTGAAGTAACTTTGTAACTCTGCAATTTAGCATGCAGGAGTCGACACAGTACTACAGTCATTGTCCTCCATTGAAAGAAATAGATCATCCAATTCTTCTAGCAACCCCTGTTCTATAAGATCTTTTTTGCCACTTTTGATAATCTGTACATAGAATTCTTTTGCAGTAGCAGTTCTTCCTGTACGAAATAAACCTTGCAGCATTATGTTATATGTGATAAAATTAGGACTAACACCATTGCTCACCATCTCTTGGAAAAGTGCTAAAGCATTCTCCATCCTAGTAATTTTACAGTAGCCATTAATCAAAGTGCTATACGTAACACAATTAGGTTTCAATCCTTGCTGCCTCATTTTGCTAAATACAAGCATGGCCTCATCTACTTTTCCTTGCTTGGCGGATGCATATATTAGTGTGTTGAAGACATAATGATCGGGTTGCATATCACTTTGTACCATCAAATCAAAGAGACCATGCATCTCAACAAGAGCTCCTTCGATAGCATACCCATGAAGTAAGCTACTGTAGGTAGTAATATCAGGCTTTAGGCCCCTCTTGACCATAGAATCAAAAATCTTTCTAGCTTCTGTGCATCTTCCGTTCTTGCAGAGATAGTCCATAAACGAGCTATAAGTAACAACATTTGGTTCAACACCATTGCTGCACATCTTTTCTAGAAATTTAATAGCCTCTGTCAACTGCCCTGAAGAGCAAAATCCATGCACAAGACTAGTATACGTGAAGCAATTGGGTGTAACTCCATTCTTAACCATCCTATCGTGTACCTCCATGGCCTTGTCCATTGCTTGACCCTTGCATAGGGCAGCAATAATGGAGCTGTAAATCACAACATTTGGCAAAATCCTCCGGTCAAGCATTTCACGGTATGTAGCGTAGGCTTTGTCCGGATCCCCTCCTTTCAAGAGGCCATCGATGACGGTGCTGTATGACACAACATTAGGTAAGCAGCCTCCTCCATCATCAGCCATCATGTGGAGCAGCTCGAGAGCTTCTTGGCTTCTGTTCTCATGACAGAGTCCCTTGAGAATAATGGTGTGGGAGAAGACATTTGGCACGCAGCTGAGCTCGGTCATTCCACGGAGCACTATGTCCATTGCGTCGTCCGTCCTCTTGTCTGCACAGAGGCCCTTGAGCAGAGGATTAAAGATGATGGGTTCCACTCTGAATCCCTTCTTAACGACATGGCCCAAGGCCGCGAAACCGAGGTCTAAGCGGCCCGCACTGCAGCAGCAGCCGATGAGGATGCCATAGGTGTGCACGGTGGGAGTTACCATGCTGGCACCAGCTCGTGCCATGCGGTTGAAGCGGGACACAGCGGCCGCGGGGTTGTCGCGCGCGACGTCGGCGAGAGCGCCGTTCAAGCTGCGGATCGGAGCGCCGATGCCTCGCCGGAGCAATTCGTCGAACACGTCGAGTGCGTCCTCGGCGCCACCGCTCCCAACGCGTGCTCGGTCTTGGATCGTACCCTCCGAGCGCGGGACGCCGCCGGCGCGGGCGCGGGCGCGGGCAGCGACGCGGCGTGCCATGTCCGGCCTGACGGACGGGCAAGGAAAGGTGGAAACCTGCGGCAGCGCTGAATAAATCACCCCGTGGTTTACTAGGAAACTAGGAACCAGAGGCAAAGGAAGGTGGAACTAACCAGCGCGCGAAGGAATGGCGAACGGATCAGCTGCTGGCGGCGGCGGAGGGGCGGCCTCGACGGCGACGGCCGACGAGCGCGGCTGCACGGGTGCGTCCGTTCGAGCAGTTGGCTTCGCGAAAGGCGCGGGAAGAAGACGACGAGAAGAGATCAATCAGATCAGCGTCTTATTTGTTCTTTTTTTTTTTCTTTTTTCGGTTTCACATACATCTTGCTTCAACGAGTATTACTTGATTTGGGGTTACTCTTTTTTTTTTCTATATGGGAAGCATGTTTTTATATTCCTTAAGTTACTTTTTTTTTCTAGCTACGAGTGGCATGTTTTTACTTGTTTTTTTTATACTGCAAATATTTCCAACTTTCTTTGTTGCTAATGTGGCATAATAATATTTCACTTGCAAAATTTTCTCAATTTTTTCATAGACTAAAAAAATGCCCGTGCATTACAATGGGTAAAGTCTATTTTAATCTTGTTATTATTATATGGTTTAGTTAAAATGAAATTCACTATGGAGTTCGCTTGGATATATATTTTTTTATAAAATCATGAGCTGCAGTTAGAAGTCCGATCGTTTAAGTTAGCATGCGAGTTTTTTTTAAACAGATTTCTTATATGATTCTTTCTGTATTGCCAAAAGTGAACAATGTTAAAAACCGACTCAAATACGGATATGTATTTCTAAAAGCAAACGAATTTAAAAACCGTCTCGTACCCGGATGACGTACGAAAATACCAGTAAAAATATTTTCAATTTTTATAATAGTAGAGAAAAATGATGCCAACGAGAATGTCACTCTTCGGTCTCTCTGCTTCCTATCCCTACTCATCAATCCAAATTACTGCATCTCCGTCGTGTTTTAGTTTCTTTTTAAAATATTCCACTTTGATCACTTGTTTCTCACAAAACATGTCCTCAACTATTCTAAACTGAATCACAATTTAGAATTTTTCACTACAGCATGAAAACTCAAATGCTTATTTATTTGGAAGGCATATCCAAAAAGTCTCAGTTTGTTCATCAGCACCAGGCCAAGGCAGAGACAAATACTTCAGAGTTCAGAGTTCAAAACGCTTCAAAACAAACACTCCAAAATGTTTTCAGAACAAGGATGCAGGCATGCACAACGATCCATCGATCGATCGCCGCAACAGAAAAAAAAAAAAGAACTCTTTCTTGGCGTCGCCGCGGCAGCGGCCTTCACTGCAGCTGCTCGCGGAACACCGTGAGCACGTCGGCGAACGTGACGATCCCGGCGAGGCGGCAGTCGTCGTCCTCGTCGAGCACCCACAGGTAGCTGGCGCGGTGGGCGAGCGCCTGCATCATCACGGCCACCAGCGAGCTCGCCGGGCTGCACACCACCGGCTCCTCCGTCGAGCGGCGCCCGTAGCTCCCCGACGACGGCCGCCTCAGCCGCGCGGCGCGGCCGTGGGCCTCGTCGTCGGAGGACGACGAGGTGGAGGAGGAGGAGAACGCGAAGGAGGACACCGCCTCGTTCTCCACCAGCTCGAGCATGGCGTCGAGGCCCTTGCTCTTCAGCCCGGCCTTGACCGCGCGAAGGATGTGCTCCGGCGGCGCGCCGAAGTAGTCGACGTACGCCATGAGGTCGGCCACCGACAGCGTCGCGATGGCCGCGGCCGCCGTCTCGTCGCAGGACGCGAGGAGCGCGGGGGAGATCTCGCCGACGAGGTGGCCGCCGTCGTCGACGACGGCGACCGCGGTCTCCGTGGCGATGGCGCGGCGGAGGAGGGGCACGGCGGACAGGGCTGCCTCGTGGGGCCGCACCGTGAGGAGGTCGTCGGCGCGCACGAGGCCGAGGGAGGAGACGGAGCGGCCGGCGACATGGGAGAAGAGGGAGATGGAGTTGAGGAAGTAGCGGACGAGGTCCTCCTGCGTCAACCAGCAGTAGTCGCCGCCGCCGCCGCCACCGCCGCCGCCGCCGAGCTGCTTCCTCCGGCCGCCGGAGCGGAGAGGGACGGCGAGCACCTGCGCGCCGCTCAAGACGGCATCAAGCGCCTCCAACACACTGCAAAGAACAACACCACATTGATTAATTAAAAAATCACAGTAATTATACTAGTCAAAGATTTAGTTCATCAAGATCCTACTATTATCCCCAAATAAAATTTCTAAGATCCAAGTATTATTGCGCCATCTTTGAACCACACAACGACGAAAGAACAGGGAAAAGATCTCCTGGACTTGGTACGAGGCGAGCTGGAGGCAGCTGAATCCTATCAGGAATGGAGCAAAACGACATGGATGCAGGTCTCAATCTCTGGTGCGCCACGCAGATCGCCACCACAAGATTGTCCCGATGAGTCGGACGATTTGACCCGGATCGGGCGCCTTTTTCTAAACCAAGATTACAGCCACTTGTTCCAAACGCCTTCGTGTTCGCATATTCCAATCGGGGATCAAAATTTCAAGTGCTAGTCACTTTGATCAAGGAATATCCGGGATCAACTGAATGTCTCGTCTTTTTCTCACAAATCGCCTCAATAGTCAAAGATCACAGTTTTCTTAACTCGAAAAAGTAAAATGTCATCATTTAATAATCGTTTTATTCCCCAAACTATTATAGAATTTTAATTTTTACCACTAACTCGTACTAGAAAAATACCATAAAGATCTACATCGTTTATTCATTTTATTAGAGCAAATAGGAAAGCATTTGCGTATCCTTTAAGCATCTCAACCATTTTTTAATCGAAGATTTTAGCGGGGATTTTGGCCTAAATCGCGTTCTTTGCAACCTAAACAACAACAAAATCATCAAAGACGCGTCGTGTCCCAAAAATCTAAAAACAAATCGGAACAGGGCGAAAAGTGAAGCGGGGGATTTTTTTTCTTTTTACCTGGCGCGGGGGTCGACGCGGCGGACCTCGCCGGCGCCGTCCTTGGGGAGGAGCGCGGAGGCGGGCTTGGAGAGCGCGGCGGTGGGGTGGGCGAGCGCGCCCGGCGCGGCGCAGAGGAAGCAGAGCACGTCGGCGAGCCCGAGCCTCCCCGCGACGGCGCGCCCGGGGCCGACGACGGCGACGCACGCGGCCGCCCCTCCCGCTGCCTGCTGCGGTCCCCTCCTGAGCGCCGCGGCCAGGTCCCCGGCGGCGGCGGAGAGCGGGAGCGACCTCACCGCCGGCTTGCCGATGCACAGGTCCGACACCTCATTAGCCAGTAGGCGCACTGCCATGCACTCGCGGGGCGAACCCTTGTCGGTTTCGAGATCGAAACCCTCACAAACGATGTCGAGGAGGAAGAAGAGAGACGAGACGAGACGAGGTTTTTTTTGCAACGGAAATCGCGGAGGAGGAAGAAGACGAGACGAGACGGGATTTTTTTTTTGCTTTTTTTCGCTTCCGCCGATTTGGCTTGGCTTTAACCGTGGAGCGGGATGGGAGGCATATATATAGGCTTTGGGGGTGGCCGCTACGCGGTTGGGTTCACGCGTGGCTCGATGACAGGTGGGGCCCGGTTTTGTGGGGACCACTCGGCAGTGGGAGGTGGGGGGTTACACGGGTGGTTTGGTTTAATGGTTACCCGTTGTTTTTACTCTGTGCTGGTTTGCGCGCGGCTCGGGCCTGGTTTCTAGAATCGGCTCAAGCCAAGCCGATCTGAGCTGGAACCGTAACTCCGTGTCTCCGTGAGACGGTTATGTTGTTTGCAGTTTGCTTTGTTTTGGCATTGTTCTTACAGTGGTAAATAAGCGCCCTCCACTTCGAGATATGATTTTTTTGGCTCTTTATATATATATATATATATATATACAAATGTAAAACCAAGAAAAATAAAATATTTTTACCTTATCAAATTCCAATGGAATTATTATTCATTTTATATACTCATAGTACATTTAGCCCCTAGTTTCATAAACTCCGGTACAATAATTACTTAAAGATAAATTTATTTTGGAATAAATGGGATGGGTTAAAAATGTTATTATGAGATACAGGATGACAGATCATCGAACTAAGATTTTTTTAGTGGACAAACTAAGATTATTAAAAGCACTAAAGCAGTAAATAAATCCATAATCCATTGTTTACAAGAGCCATTATATTTGCAACCAAGTCACAGACTCACGGTGAAAGGAAAAAAAAAAGGCAAGAAGCCATGAAGTGTGCAGCACGAATTGCCAGCAAGAATGTCAACTGTCACCAGCTTAACAACGGGATGTTGTGAAAAACGTTGGGAAGTTAATTGTGCTTACTAAAAGAACTTTGACCTAATGGTGTATGATTATCTTCTTCACTATCATGCAATGGGTGCAATGCTAGCTGCTTCAGAGGGGAAGAATATATTTCACAATAGATGTATGGAACATATAGATCCAATGCTAGCTGTAACTTGACAATATGATAAATCCAATTGTGCCTCCAGAGTTGGTACACAGGTCAGAGGAGATTCAATTGGAACCTGAAAAATAGTGCAAATGCATGAACTAGTACCGAATTTGTTTTTAAAAAAAAAAACAGAACAGGAGTAACCGCCATGTGGGATCATTTTGTAATTATGGTAGATCTCAGATTTGTTTTACTAAACTTTTAATTTTGTCTTGTTTGGTTGGCTCGCTCAGCCGCCACCGCTGATGTGCTGAACAACACTTTGGTCGAAACAGGCAGCAGCAAAGAGGTTTCTGCTCGGTTTAGGCTACGCTTTTTGACCATTCCGTTTGACCACTTGCTTCGGTTTCCAGCTTGGCGGTAGTAGCATGCTGGGTTTTCTTTTATAGTTTTTAAATGGTTATTTTGCAAACGTGTTTCCAAAACCAAATTCTTGTCACATCAATATTGCTTGCGCAATATTTTGACTAAGTATTATTTTCATATTTTGGACATTTAGAATTCAGTTTGACCAAAGTAGGACAACAACCATTATATATTTTTGTCCGTTCATACCACATGATCATTTTCCTCTATCTTTACAAACCTAGTGGATATTTCGGATATTAGGATAGAACTGTAACCTTTTACATGTGGAAGCTTTATCAGAAATCTTTTACATGTGGAAGCTTTATCAGAAATCCACTAAAACGATGTGCTACGAACGGAGGATGATTATGGATTATCCACATGATAAATTGGTATAGTTTTCGTAGAGTAAAGTTAACTATTGTAATATAAGTCCAAGCAATCTTCATTCAAGTGTTCATCCAGCCTCCTCATAGGCTCCTAGTTACTACTCCAGTCTCCATCACGTCTTCATGAACTTGCATTCTCTATTGCCCAAATTTGACGAGATGGTTTCCCAAATTTGACAAGATGGTTGGTGCAGCACCAAGTGGTTAGATCCATGCGTGACAAGGACTTTCTTTGAATTTTTGCACCATTTTTCTAATCTAATAAACTATTTCATTCGAATTTTCTTTCTTTCATTTTCCAGTGTAACCATCATGTTTTTTTAGCATCATCTTCTTCTTGTTGGCTTCTTCCATGAAAAGGGAACACATTAATTCATAAAGATCAAGGCAGTATAACTACTAGCTCGTTCGTTCGTACATGTGGTTGTACCATAAATACGTTCCATCAAGAGATTGGGAGGCTTGGATAATCAACCCCTTTTAAAGACAAAAATGTGACACATGAGCTGATCACAACATGAAAGCGACAAAAGGAAAAAAGGTTACATAAACCTACTACCTCCGTTCCAAAATAGGTGCAGCTTTCTAGTTTAAATTTTAACTACAGTGCGGCACCTATGTTGGGACGGAGAGAGTATTTGATTCTATCACAAAATTATTATCTTTCCCCAACTAAAGTCTTTTTCCCTGTTTATAATTATCGACTAGTTAGCAATATCTAGTGTTAAAATTGATCGTGAATCACTTAATTGCAATACATAAATGGTTAATGGTATTCTCCAAAGCTTCCCAAATCTAATCATTTGCACAATGGTTTTGTAGGTGTTATATGTCTTCCATTAATTAATGGAGAAAATGAAAATACTATGCCCATCTCGTCTACATAAACATTCATGACATTTTCAGTTCTAGAAAAAAAAAGACGACGCTATTGTTGTTGAGCCTCGCACAGTTGATCTTGTTACGGCTACGTGAACATGCTTAGCACGTCGATTGTCTACTAACTCATCTAGGAATATACATGTAGCACCATACTGTTATAGTGGAATTGATCAATTGAAGTACAATCTCTTTGGTTAATATATTGCTCTTAACTGCGCTGGCAAATCAGCATTCTAACATGTGAAAAACGCTCTCCATTTCGGTGAGGTCATTTTTAATTACTCTTCCGGTTTAGTACTATACTCCAGTCCAGCCAGAGCCCGCCGCCGCAGCCATCTCCAGAACCTTCCCTGTTTGCGCGTTAAAGCGAAAATAAAAAGATAAACGTTACAGGTAGTAGTAGTGAAAAGGTGGGTTTCCTCTCAACCAGAAGGAGCCGAAAGGCAGAAAGAACCCTGGCTCGAGCCGTGAAGCCGATCTGGGCCGAGCCGGTTTGGTTGGCAGAAGAACGTGTAGGCGACGTGGCACCCGGCCCCACCACGTGGACGCATGCTGTACGCGTGGGCCCATGCGGACCTTCCGTGCCACGGACTCCGGGATCTTCTGCGGCCACAGCCGCGATCAGGTTGCGGCCACTTCAGCTGCTTCTCCAGCTCAGCTGCAGCCTGCATGCCAGATTGCCAATCTGCCGCTGCTGCACTGCAATTTGTCTGATGAAACCTTCGCTATCTGCCACCGTGCCACTGTCTGAACCAGCTGGCAAAAGAGCACAACTAGTACTAGTAGTTCGTACACATAACCTGATTTTTCAATGACGAGTCATGACAGGCAGACATGGCCTGTGTGTGTGTGTCTTGGGGTGTCCGTGCACGTAGAACACAGCTTCTCGCCGTGCGAAAGGCCACTTTTAGAGCAAGTGTGGAGGCTGTAAGGCCCCTGTTTAGATGAGACTAAAACTTTTAAGTCCCTATCACATCGGATGTTTAAAAATTAATTATAAATATTAAACGTAGACTATTAATAAAACCTATCCATAATCTTGGACTAATTTGCGAGACGAATCTAATGAGCCTAATTAATCCATGATTAGCCTATGTGATGCTACAGTAAACATTCTCTAATTATAGATTAATTAGGCTTAAAAAATTTGTCTCGTGAATTAGCTTTTATTTATGTAATTAGTTTTGTAAGTAGTTTATATTTAATACTCTAAATTAGTGTCTAAAGACAGGGACTAAAGTTAAGTCCCTGGATGTAAACACCACCTAAGTTAGCTAAATGCTGAGGTGCAAGAGAGAAGAGAGAGAAGGAGCAAACTATAAACTAACTTACAGCTGGCTTAAACATAAGAACCAAAAAAATCATGTAAGAGAGACAAGTGGACTATATATTAATTGTAAATAGCTAATTATAATATATATGAGATAAGAAAAGACTGCAAATATTACAGTCAACAAGTCTGTTATATTATTAGCCTTGCTCTTATGAGACCGCAACAGTAGTCTGAATCTACGTACTATCGTGTTATTATTATCTTCCGATCTGAACTGAAAGAAACCCGTCATCTACCCAACAAAAAATGAACTAATCTGGTGGTACGAGTGGGCGCGCGCGCGCGTGCGGTCAAAGTGTCAAACACGGCAAGCACCAGTTGCTGCTCCCTCTCGTGGACTCGCGGTCTCTCGCGCGCGCGCCGAAGAGGAAACTCCTTCCACGCGAGCGAGCCGCAGTTTCCCTTCCCCCCGTGGTGATTATCCACATCCGCCACCACGAGGCGGCGCGAGCGACAGCGGCAGCGGATGCCCTTTTTTCCGCCGTGGCGTCGCGGGTGTGATCCGCTGATGTGGCGCCGCGCGTCGCGGCCAGAGTGCGCGGTGGCGGCGTGGCGCTCGCATGCTGTCACGGTCGTTGGTTGCTTTGGCTGATTCATTTTCAGGTGAGCGCGCCGCCCGTGCCACCGTATGGTGGTGGTGGTGGTACGCGCGCGCGTGATATGTTTGGCTTTCGTCCGCTTCTTCGGCGGCAAGCCGATGGATGCATGGGCGCCTCTCCTGTTCAGCTTAGCTCTGCTTACCACGTTTTTATTTGACGAATCCGCACGAAAAAAAATAGTTTTATCCTATAGAGTAGAAGTAAAACATATTTAAGGAAAGCAAAAAGGAAAAAAAAAAAGACTATACAAGAGTCTCGAAGGACAATATCGCACTAGGGGAACATTTCCATGAGTCTCTTTTCCGTAGTATTTCTGTTGAAACAATATGTCTGTGTAAGTTATGATATAATTGGAATATGTCTGTATAAGTTACAAGAGCCTCAGTAGCATCTTACGTCCCAGGTTCGACTCCCTATAGGACTCCAGGATGGATTTACGGGGTGAGTGTGTAATTCTCAAATGTTCGACTCCCTATGAGAGTCCAGGATGGATT